TATATATACACACACACATACACAGTATATATGGATTGAAATGAGAGGTAACACTCGTGTGAGTTATTAAGTTTGCCGATAGTGAGAGAGTATGTGACTATAGATAGATTGGAAATGCAGGGATGCGCAAAACCATTCACCTAAGGAAATCTAACTTAGGACCAGAATAATTAAGCCTCCTATTCGGCATCAGCTCTTTTACCACACAGCGGCGGCCTGGAGTTAGAGAACTTCTTTTCCTACTTTCTTAGCAGCGTTGATTCAGGCGGACGTTTCTTTCCGAGGGCCACCCGGACTGTCGCTTGGCAGCTCCCGGACTTCCCAGCAGAATGAAACCAGCTGCAAAACAGTGGTTGAGGAGCGGTTGAGTCTGACTGTGATGTCCTTCGGGTGACCCTCAAACGTTGCTTCTCTTAAGCTGCAGAAAATCTCTGGGGTTGTGTCAAAAGAATCTCTTCGTAATGACCCTTCAAGCAACAGAGACCAGAGCCAAAATATCAAAGTTTAACAGAATTTATTTTCTTGTACAAGAAAGAGCGTTTCACAGTGCAACACACAAGATGAGGTTACAGAGAAAAGGCTCCTTGAGGAGCATCTACTGCAAGTTTTTATACAGCACAGGTGGGCGTTAGACTTCATAGATAACGTCATAACTGTTTCAGTTCCTCTCCTAATCTATCAAGTACAGACTTCATAGATAACAACTGTCTTCAGTCCTTCTGTTGGAGTGACACCCTGTTACACTGGCCCACAGATTACATGCTCTCGACATGTCTCCGGCCCTTGGTTTCTCCGTCTTGCTCTTACAGATATGGTGCTGAACTTCCCTTAACCGTAGCTGTTGAGTCTGCTGATGTTGCTGTGTTGCAGTACAAAACAGGAACAATTCTTCATGACTTGTGCAAAATAGTAGCACGCATACGCAGTGTGATCATAATTTTTATAACAGTCTGGCAACAGAACCACTGTGACAAGTGGCTGGCAGCTGCTGGCTCCGATGAATCTGGTGTGACGAGGCAGGTCGAAAAGGCACTTGTCTACTTTGTTATGATTACTCACTTATAATAATGGACAGATAAAGTTGAAAACAATCTCGTTGGCCGTTCGATCTTGTTATCAAAGTTACTATTAACGCGCATGAAAATGTAAAAATTGTATAATGTATAATGTTACTGAAGGCACTGGAGGTAAAAGAAAAACTGGATAAGTAAAACTTTAAAAGTTTGAGCAAGATTGTGAGCAAGTAAGAGTTACGTAGGAACCGTAACTGGCTAAAACATAAGATACGGCAAAAGCACGTGGACCAAAACGAAAAAGGCAAAAAAAAAAAATCCAAAAGAGACGAAGAGTACGGAAAATGACATAGAAGAGATTAAGAGGCGAAAAGAAGAGCAAGAGGACAAGAAGAAGAAGAGAGTAAGAGCAGACGTGCTGCACTTACTTGTTATTATACCGCATGTATCAGCAAAGTACATGTATAGCCTAAACTGCTTCAAATACACACACTCTAGACTAACCTATAGTTACAATATATAAAGAAAAACACAATGAGGAAGCACATATTCATGCCAACAGGTTGATTAATAAATCCAACTATATTTTAATTCTAAATATAATATGGGGCTCCATATGGGAACCCACTTTAACTACCGTCACAAGATGGCAGTATAGCTCCATGTTAAATGAGGGATTAAAAGAAACTGAATTTGCAACTCATTAATCTTTTGTTTTACAGGATTAAAGAAAAATATAATTCAGATAACAAACATGGATTATGCACATGTACAAGTTTAGGATATGGAAAAGAAAACAACAAGGGAAACAACTGTATAATTTCACATCCAGAGATATACGAAGTTTCTGCTCAGGAACATTTGGTGAGAAAGGGGAGGGGTGTGATTCCCCGGGGTGACAGGAATGGACAGGATGTGGTTGAGAAAAGAAGCATTGTCTTAAGATCCTAGGATGGCTGAAAGGAGCATTTGTCAGGACTGGGGGTGATTACGGGGTCGAGTCCTAAACATTTGACCCTCCGGTGGTCTCTCGTTGTCTATTGTAGTCCAATCTGGAGAGTTTAGCAGTGTTGCCAGATCTCGTGAGACAAATAAGCAACCAGGCCTGTGAAAATGAGCCCAAAACAAGCGACTTTTTCTACGGAGCCCCCCTAGGTTCCGGTGAGAGAAAATTAAATAAACTGTGTGCACGGTTTTACAATCCGTGGGGACAGATTTTAAACTGTGGGTACAGATTGTCAATTTACATCCATGTGGACAGATTAGTAAACTGTGTGCAGTTTTGCAAAACTGTAGCCACGGTACACAGTTTATTTATTTTTCTCCCCCCTGAGCTTCAGGACAATGACTACAAGAGGGAGTTAAACCACCTTTTAACATTATTTAACATGAGAAAACAGATGGGATATCAAATATAGACTGATGTTCCAAGTACATTATATACACAGTAAACCTCTGATAATTAAAATTTGCACACTCAAATAAATATCATCCTGAATTCACAAATTCTTTATTTATTATTGCTTTTTATGCACTCATCTTTTTTCTTTTAGTTACAGGACTGACGTTTTCCTAACCAGAAAAAAACACATTACCCTGCTCTGCCTCTGATTGGCTAGTACTCGTTGCCATCAGGGTCAGAGCCAATTAGAAGCAGGATGCGGGTGGGAAAAAACTCTGCTGTCTCCTGTGTGTATGGGGAAAGGGGAGGGACAGAGGGAACAGGCAAGACAAACTATCCTACGTTTAAATAACATATCAAAAATATCTGCTTGACAACTTATTATGGAGCTGGGAACAAGCCAAAATAAGCAACTACGCTTTAGAAACAAGCCCAAAAAAAACCTGCAACTACCAAAATTTGTAAGCGACTTTACAGAAAAACAAGCCCAAAGTCGCTTATAATAAGCAGACTTGGCAACACTGGAGTTTAGAATACTGGTGTCCCTACACTTGACAGTGGTTTTAATGTTGTGATTGATCACAAAGAGGCGCAGCAAATCCTGCCATTATAGAAACTTGAACCTGAGAATGTGTAGACCGAATCACACTGTCTGTATACAAAAACTTTCAGGTAGAAAATCCTCATGTCATGTACATGAAATCAAATGGCGCTGAGCAAACTTTGCCCAATTAGTTTGTCGGGCTTTTGGGCTTTAATGACAGGAAAGTTAGAAGCGTGAAGGGGGAGAGAGAAGGGACAACATGGAGCAAAGGGCCACAGGCTGGAATCTAACCCATGGCAGCTGTAGCAAGGACATTACCTTTGTACATGGGGTGCCTGCTCTACCCACTGAGATACTGGGCACCCCAATGAGATTTTAGTCACCTAAAAAGGCCCACCAAAATAAAAGATCTATCACTTTGAGTCTACACTATATTTAGAATATCTTCATTCGCAGCCTCACCTTGCTGTCAGACAGCCTTTTTCAACAGTTGTTGATTTTTTTTTTTTTAGGTGGCTAAAATACATTTTGCTGCAGCCCTGTCCACAGCAGTACAGTGCGTAGCCTCCATGACAGTATATTTGGTTTATCACAGATGATAGCAAAACAACAAAGTATATGAAATAAGCACAGCGGAAATGTCAGATAGTTGAGAAGTGTGTAAGTATTTATCTTTAAACTTTATTTATCTCTTTTTTTTTTTTTTTTTACAATTTTGGTCAATCGATCATTGAAAGCATTGCAGATTATTACTGTGTCAGTAGACAAATTGATTTATCGACTAATGGTTTTATTTTTAGTAGAGTTACAAGATTTTAGATGCTGATATCTGATGCAAGCGGTGTGCGGCACGTGACACAACTGAATTATCATTGCTCTTCCTCTGAGACAAGCAGTCACACTCAGCCAGGTTGTTTACAGGACTGATATCTTTTACACATCTACCTGAGGAATACACTGCTTATGTCAACACATGACCACCAGATGGAGGCAGATTCAGCCAGTTAGTGGTCTTCACCACAGCTCTCCTTCCCTTTGTAGTCTTTGTTCTTTTAGTTGTTCCGTTGCTTTAGTCACGCTTTCTCATTTCTCTGTCTGTCTGTGCTGCAGCATCTTCATGACCATGGAGAAGCAGAAGGGCACCGGCGTCTTTCGAGATTGGACCACCCTTGGTGAGGTGCCGGCCAACCCTCTGCCCATGTGTGTGATGGTCAGCAGGTACAAGCCCGGACACAAGGTGTGTGTCGCTGTAATAGGCAAAGACAAGTTTGGCCGATACGGACCTTACAGTAAAGTTGAAACCAGAGCCATACCGGACTAGTTGGGAGGAGGACATGGTGTCAAGGGAGAGATAACACGTGAGGCTACCTCCACCTGGATTTGCCCAGTTTTCTCATGAAGTGCCTTAAGGTTGATAATGTGGGGAATGTCAGGAAGATTATTTGGTGTACTTTAAAATTGAGTGAAACTGCAGCCAAACATTAACAGGTACTTTATTTATGCCCTCCAGCAATTAGTGCATTTACATGGACATGAATAACCCACTTATCATGGTTATGATCGTATTTGGGATACAGTGTTTACATGAGCACAGACGAATCAGGTTTTTCGTATCCCTCGCATACATAAAAATCCTATTCTCTGTCTCAACCACACACACTTTCACTCCACACTGTACTGTTCTTGAAAGGAGTTACACTACTCTTATAACACTCCTCCATTTTGACTTGTGCCAGCTGCCACTACCACTGTGTAGGGAAGCAGTGGATGAAGACACGCAGCCTCCTACCAAAAGACAAAACTCAGTTTCACTTCATTGCTCCAGAAGTGAGACGTTTTCACCACCACTATTGTTTGTATTTCTGTAAAGTCACATGACTGAAGCTGCTCCTGTGTAGGAAGTCAGCGGTGCTCAATAACCAGGATAAGGTGTATTCATGGAACAGTAATCCAGTGTCTTTCAGAGTACTCCAGTTAGGGCTGGGCAGTATATTTATGTTATCACCAATATTGTGATATGAGACTTGATATTGTCTTAGACCTTGGTTATCGTTTTCTGAACATACCAGACTGTTCTAGCTGTTCTATTATTTGCCTTTCCCTACTTAGTCGTCATATCCAGATTACTGATGATTATTCATGTTCATGTAAACAGACTCATTGATTACGGTTCCAAAGGAAGTAGAGTAAATAGCCATGTTTGAAGCACTTCTGTCTCTGTTTGGTTATCTGCTGTTATAATGGAGCAGTCGCTTAAGCCTTAAATAAACAGACAACCATGAGGTGCATTTCACTGTGAAAAAGTAGTTCACGCAGTGTTAGGAATGTATAACAAATGATGAAGTTTTTAAATAAGGTAATAAAGATGACAATGTTTTAATGTATGCTTTGTGTGATTTTCCTTCATATTTTGGTTTGAGTTTTTCCGATATGCCTCCAATTGCGTAAAATTTTGGATCGGCTTTCGGGGAGTCTGCAAGTCTATACACTGATCAGATACCATGTAATTTATTAATTAGCTTTAAAGTGGTTTCCCACCTGGATAAAACAGTTTTGCGTATTTTCAGGGCTGCTGTTTTAGAGCGACAAAGAAGAATTGATTTCTGGTAAATGGTAAAAAGATAACCGTTAGCAGTATGTCTCTGCATGTATTTGTACATGGGTTTAACATGTACCATTCGTTCATTTGAATTTCAGTTGAGAATGAAAAAACAATAAAATGGAAAAGCGATTTATTTCATTATATGTTTTTCAATGTTCAACAAAAAACAGATTTCGACTACTTTTTCAAATATTTCATTTAGTGCGCAGGTCCAAAATAGAACATTTAAAAAACGGTCTTGATCCCTTTTTTTTATTTTGATATTTAATCTCTCTCATTTTGTGCCCTGGAAGTTATTCAGCCTAGCGCATACTTAATTTACTGTCTGATACTGATAGTAGGCTGTCATTTATTATGACTGTTTTGGAGTCCCAAGGATTATGCGCTTGTTGCCGCAACGTAAAACATAACTTTGGCTCTGTAACATCGCCATTGCCGTCAAAGGCTCTGGTAGATCTACAGTGATCTTGACCATGAGTAAGGACAGTAAGAAAAATATGCTACAGGTAAAATGCTCTAAATTTAGTACAATTGCACTGATTATTCTCATTTCATCTTCCCCGTATTTGTTCAATTTTTCAGTTCATGAATTAGCTTGAAAATGACTGAATACCGCCATCTACAGGTGTTATGCAACATTTAAGGTGGACTGAGAAATTCCAATTCCAAGTTATCAGAGTCCGTATTTGGACAGGAACAAAAACATTTAGGAGCATCTCTTGTAAAAATCTCAAACATTGGATACAACTTGGTTCCAACTGCTTCTGCTTCTCCCTTTTTCATATGAATGGAATACTTATTCATTCACATTCATTCAGCCACAAGAGGCCGACAGAGGGAGGCGTGGGCTCTCTTTTTTTGGCTTTTCACCAGCTAAATCAAGCTGAGGCTGATGATGTACAGCTGTTTTTTTGGGTAACACCATTACCTCTCCTCTCTGATGACACCCTCATGCCGGTCTTTACATTCTTTACAAAGAACGCAGGCCCTCTTGTACTTCACATGTACACACAAAGCTATGGTCGTGTTCTTACTTGCTGCTCCAGATGTTTCCTTTTCCTGCTTGATCGAGCTCTGCTTTCTTGCCAGCTGGCAGCAGTCAACAGTCTCCTCACTCTCCAGCTCTGCCTCCAGCTCTCACATTCAGTACGTGTAAGTGAAGACGACAGGCCACAATTCCTATCAGTCACAACAGAGGCTTGGCATAGTCACTCAGAATTTGGGAGACTTGTGTGCCCGACCTGGCTAGACCTTAAAGGGCCGGTTCACGTAGAATCACACACAGTGCTACCCACCCTTACATTCTTCTCCAGGATAAACCTCTAAATAATGATAGTTAGCATCTAGTCAGCATATGAATCCATGACGGAAGTTAGCGTTAAAAGAACTGTTTTATATTTAGAATTCCTTCAGTGTTGATTGATCAAGATCAAGAGGTTTGACCAGGAGCCCAATCATCTGATTTAAACCAGTAAACACCGAATAAAGCAGTCTTGCATTAAAAATCAGTGTTTCTCTGCTGCTGTTTGGCACGTCGCAGACAGCCTGCTAGCCCAGCACCTGCTAATGTGTGCTCACCTTTTTTCTCTGACAGCTTAAGATCCAGGCATAAAAGAGGTTTTTACCAGGAGCCGAATTATCCACAGAGGTTTCTTTCTCTCTAAAACAAATGGACAGGCGATTTAATCTGGTAAAAACACTGAATAAAGCAGTTTCATGTTAAAACAATTATGCTATGATGCTGCTCATTGCAGAGGGGCGGTGGCTGATGCGAAAACGTGAATGGCCCTATAGAGCCAGTGTTTGGTTTGGCTATGCTAGAAACATGGCAGTACCACATGGCGATCTTCGTGGATAAGGACCCTATTCCTATATAGATATAAATGGCTCATTCTAGAAAACACCACAGTACTTTTTTTTTCAGGTGATTATACACTAAAGAAAATTTTATGCTTCTATATTATGTTTCTGCCAATAAATCCCACGGAATCCTACCCACTGGACATGAAATGTTCTGAACTGATACTTGGAGATAAAAAAAGTAATGTAAAATTCAATTATTTTACATTTATTTCTCATTTTGTGTGCATGAATTTTTTTTTTTCAATTTTTTTTGTGCAATTTTTTTTCTTTTTTTCCTCAATGTATTTGATAATTTTTTCTTTATTTTTCTATAAAGTCAGGTTGGTTTTTCATTATTTTGGAGCACACCCATTGAATGTCTGTGGCTGACCATGTACTGAGGTGCTTGTATACTGGCACGAGTCGACCTTTAATGGCCCCAGACTTGCCTGCAACCCTGAACAGGATAAGCAGGTATAGTAAAAAGATAGGGTAACTCTTTACTTGAATGAATCTACATAAGGGTGACATGACACTGTCATAGCTATGACATGACACTGTCATGAACTTAAACATTATGTACATGTCATAAACGTTTATGACTGCTGTCATTAAATGTCATTCGGTTTTTTGTAATGTCAAGTTGACATTGTTTGGGTTGTCTTGATTATGACAACTTGGCATTAATTAAAGTGACATTACCAGAAGTTGTCTTTGTGATGACAAGTTGACATTAAATTTGTTTGGGATGTTCTTATAATGACAACTTGACATTAACCAGGATGACATTACTGAAAGAGCTGACATTAACAAGAAATGCACCTGTTTTTGTGTTTATGACAAGTTGACATAATGATTATTATTGTTATGACAAAGATATCTTCCGGTAATGTCGTCCTGGCTAATGTCAAGTTGTCATTATAAGAACATCCCAAACAAATTTAATGTCAACTTGTCATGTCAAAGACAACTTCTGGTAATGTCACTTTAATTAATGTCAAGTTGTCATAATCAAGACAACCCAAACAATGTCAACTTGTCATTACAAAAACCGAATGACACTTAATGACAGCAGTTATAAACGTTTATGACAAGTTCATGACAGTGTCATGTCCCCCTTATGTAGATACCTTTAAGTAAAGTATTACTTATTTCCAGTACGCTGATTTAACTTGTGTTGCATTTGTGGTCATTACGTTCAACCCTTAGCTCCTCCCAACATAGAATGAGATGCACTTACCTGGCAATGGGTTACTTTGGTCTTACCAGCATTACCCTTCGCAGCACATATGACTGCAGAGTTATTGTCTCTCCCACAGGCCAGAATGTGTGTATACAGTCTGTACAGACTGCTAAATGTGGAACCATTTAGGCTTATATGTTTCAAAGAAGGTCTGCCTTTGCGTTTGTGCTGTTGGTCTGCCACAGTCTGATATAATGCCGTATATGAAGGAGTGGGAGTGCAACTGTAAAGGGAGTCATTAGACCCTCAGCGAAATCCTGCTCCCAGCATCAGCAATAGTCTGTGTGTATGTGTGTGTCTCCCCTGGACCAGCAGGTCCCAGTGGGGAAGCACAGCAGAGTGATGGGCCTCGGAAGACCACTTAAAAACACAAACCCACAATCACACTGACACACACGTACGGGCGCACACAGTGGCCTAATTAGAGCTGACAGCAGAGGAGAGAGAGCTTATGAAAAGAGGGCGAGGAAAAGAATGGTGCAGAGAAGCCGGGTAGAAAAAGCAGAGGTGGAGCAGAGAGAGTGATTAGGGAGCAAATGTGTTCTTTAAAGTTTTAAAGTGAAGTGTTGGCAGAATGGTGACCTGCTTCCTCGGTCCCTTGCCTCCTGTAAAATGGATGATGCGTATGGAATTACCCCTTCCATAAATGTGTTATCATCTTAATTTTGTGAGCATTTACATTTAAGTTTGTACCTTTAAACTCTACTTTTTTATATGAAAATGAAAGTAGTTTCTGTTACATAATTGTTTAAATTCTCAGATTGGTTAAAAGGATCAAAAGAGAGCCGCTCAAGGTTTGATTCACAAACAGTGGTGCAGCATTTGTTGACTGACAGACAGGAGCTCAAACCCCAAAGTTAGGGCCTGAGGAACTTGTAAGGAGTAAGCCGTGGTTACATTTGGTATGAACATGTGTCTTGGGTGACTGGATCACAAGAGGACAGCTCTAAGTCTGTCTGTTCTGCATTAATTGCATCTCCACGTGCGTCTTGAGTGACCATTTGTGATCAGATCTTACTCCCTGGCTCTATATACAAATAAACAAAGATAAACACACAGATGGCCATTGGTCTATGCTGAATAGTTTCACTTTACCTCTACAAATGATTAATCTATTTGCAGTAAACATTTTGAAACTTCTTTTAGCCGTTGGCTGCACCACTGATAATTTATTGGACTGTAGCTATATCATATAATACAAGGGTGACATTATAATCTTGAACGTCTACTGCAGTTTAATGTTGTAAAATCATAAAGCATGACAAAGTCTTAAAGGTGGGGGTGGGGGTACATTTTATAAGCATTTGTAAATCTGTGATCATAAGATGGCATGATCTTTCCTCTTACCTTCTTTAAAATCTGCTTAGCGGAACAAACACAAGATGACCTAATGGTTTTTAAACACACATAAATAGCAATATGTGATTTAAAGCAAATGTTGGCCAGGGTGTGAAGTCGGGGGGCCAGTGGCCCCTTCCCTATTTCCTGGTGCCCTTACTCGGGTCACACCCATCTTTGAACTTGGCCATCATCGAGATCTTCATTACACAACTCTAAAGTTTTGTGAGCCAGGGGTGTAAAGTGGGGGGCAAAGTCCCACCTGGGACACAGACTGGCCAATTATAATGTAGCACCAGGCTGGCTCAGACCAGGGTCCGACAACAGCACAACAGCAATGCAATCATTTGACTCCCTTG